AAGACCTTTTTTTCTTGGCTATGTTTCCAATCTTGGCTTATCACTATAATATTTCATGCTCCATGCTTCTGAAAAAATTCAATATTCAAGAACAAAGTAATCCAGAGCTTTACTTCATTTCAGTCTTTTTATGTCCTAGGGCTGTCCCAACTCAATGACCCAGTTTTTATTGTGTCGCATCTCATATTCTGTTGCTGACTGCGACCAGCTTGCCTAATCCTTTTCCTGTTCCTTATCAGTTTTCCCTTAATTCAAAAATCTTTTTTTTTTTTTAATTCATTGCACTTCTCCTTTCACAGCTTTTAGTTTTTTTTCCTCCTTAGGAGACTCAGTGTTCCTGTGGTTCCTACTCAGAAACACAAGGATGAATGGGTAACTAATGTCCATAAGTCTACCCCTGTCAAAATTTTCATTGTACTATCTTTAGAATTGTGGGTGGTGAATGGCAGAAAGTGGATATTATAATTTAGCAATATGCTTCAAGAGTCCTTAAAAATGTTCATACTCTTTGATCCAGCAATTTCACTTCTGAGAATCTAGCTTATTAATTTAAAAAAAAATCATCTGGGGCCAGCCCAGTGGTGTAGTGGTTAAATTCGCATGCTCTGCTTCTGGTAGCAGGGGGTTTGCAGGGGGTTTGGATCCCAGGCACAGACCTACACACTGCTCATCAAGCCACGCTGTGGCAGGCATCCCACATAAAGTAGAGGAAAATGGGCATGGATGTTAGGCCAGGGCCAATCTTCCTCAGCAAAAAGAAGAGGATTGGCAACAGGTGTTAGCTCAGGGTTAACCTTCCTCACACACACACACAAAAATCATCCAAGATAAGGAAAAAGCTGTATACAGGGGATGTTCATTAGAATGTTATGTATAAAAGCAAAAGAAGAAAACAACACAAATATCCAACAATATGAGAGAAGTTAAATAAATTAGTCTGTCTTCTCAATGGAATATTGTGCAATCATTTACGACGATGGTTATGTGACTATGTAGAAAGTGGGTAAGTATTTATGTTTTCAGAAAAGCAGGGTGCAAAATTTAAGTGCCGATGATCACAACTATGTTTTGAAAAAGATTTTTACAAAGGGAAAACTGCAAGGAAATATGACATTTGCTAACAGTTGTTATTTCAGGGTGGTGGAATTATAGATGATTTTTCTTTCCTTTACTCTCAAAATCTTGATTCAATTTCTTTTAAAATTTAAGTTTTTAAAAACAATAATCTTAACTGATTCAAATTAAGAACGATCCAGTTAGCTTATGTCAAATAAAATTTATAAAAGACTATTTCAGATAGAGCTCCATTTAAGTTGAACAATAATCTAACAACTGGGAGGGGGGACAATAAGACAATGAGCATGTCATTTTGTTTACCATTGTGTAATCCCAAAAAGGATGAATTAGGAACAAACGTTCAATACCTATTTTAAAATATAAAATAAAATTATTTTTTAAAACCTTAATAGGTTCTACTCAAGTTTATTTTACCGCCACTGACTTTATCCAGGCCGGCTTGTTCTCTCCAAAGTTACTTCATTAAGTTTTACCCTAGTCCAACCATTTCAATCCATTTTCCACACTGCCTTCAGAGAGATCTTTCTGAAACCTAAATCTGTTTGTTATATTCCACTGTTTAAACTATTCTGGGATTCAGAATATTAAAACCTGTAGCTTAATTTACTAGCTACTCACAAGCTTCTCTACCTTATTCTGTCTCCTTTCTTCTCATGCACCCTTCCCATCAGTTTTACCAAACTACATGTAATACCTGAAACAGTACTCAGAGTCACTATTATTTCTGTCCTTAATACTGAAATTAACACAATACCCACTCATTCTTCAAATCTCAAGTGTTACTTTGTTTGGGAAGTCTTCCCAGATTCCTCATATTTTATATGACGCTTCTCTGTAATCCTACAGTTCCCCACGACACTACACCAGCACTGATTTGCCTATCTGCCTTTTCCACCAGACAGTGAACTTCTCATTATTGTGCGCAGGAAAATGTGAGTATGTCTTTAACCACACTCCCCACCTCCATGTCCCCTCCCTGTGCTCTGACAGTGAGAGGAGTAGTCAATGATAAATGACGTTGATGAAGGGCCAACGTGCTAATCCTGGACACTAAATGCTAGGAACAAAGAGGGGAGATGCACTGAAAGCTAAGGACTGTTATCTGCCAGGTATGTATCAGGTATAAATTCATTCAATGCACCTCCCTGTTAAAGTTAGACTTTTCTACTTTGTCTTAAGGTTGTCTTGCAAATATTTTACCTTCAGCATGGTACCTCTGAGAACTGGAAGCACATCTTATTTATCTATGAACTCTCTACTATTCTTTGCATATACTAGACATTCAAACATATGTTGACTGAAAGCCAATTTTTAAAAATCATTCTGATTTACAGAAATTTACACCCACCTTATCTGTGACGAGTAAAAGCCTCTGGAAGAAAAAAATAAGTGAAAGACAAAATATTTGTTAAGTTCAACATCTTAACTAGAAATTTTCAGAACAGTGTTGTGAATCCCTGGAGAGAAAGATGTAATAGGAATTAAGGATGGACAAACATTCAAATATAATAAAATAAGGACTGCCTAAACTCCAGATGTGCTAACACGTAAATTATCTTCTCTACCTCAGTTTTCAGAGGCTTACATACGGAACCAGGTATACTCCAATAGGAAATATTGGTTAAGCCTAACAAAAAATCAAGGTTTTATTGTTTAGATGAAAAACAAATAACTTGGTCATGTTCTCAATTGACTTTCTTAGTCTCTTTTTTTCCCCACCCTTATCTGAACTGCATTTTAAGCAATATAGTTATTACAGCAAAAAAAATTTTTTTTGGAAAATTTTAATAAAACAAATTTATTTTCCCTAAATTTTTATAGTCTAAAAATTTTTTATTATGACTCTAACATTTTAGCTATTAATCTCTTAAACCTAAATTAACGTTCAAATGTATCAGAGGCTCTGATGTTTAAAATAAAACTCTGTAAACAATTGTTAAATAGAAAAGTCTTTGTTGATCATCCCCTTAATTTATCTGCTATGTAGATTTAGTATTCTTATTTTATATTTTCTCATAGAATCACTATTCCCGTCTGGAAACAAATGCAAACAAATATAAGTTTTAGAAAACTATCCAAACAGAATTCCATTTTGAATTTCAAATTATTGGAGTATACCTAATGACAACTTTGGTATAGGGGAAAGGTTAATCAGCCAGTACATGGGGTAGAAATCTTTGACTGAACTTTATATAGAATAATAAAAAGCAGAAATAATAAAATTAGCATAAATAGTTTGGTCAGGTGTAATTAAGAGTGGGAAGTGAAAACATTTTCAAAAATTAAGCAGTATCAGAATGAATAATGCAAAGTAGGGAAATCCTAAGATGAGCATGAATTACAGAAAAGGAAAATTGGAAAGAACAATTTTCAATATAGGTTAACACTGTCTCTCAGTAAAATACATTACTTATAAAGGCACATTTCCCTATAGGAAATAAGAAAATATTATATCCCTTCAAATATTCCAATAATCACTTAAAAATAATGTTCAGATACACCCAAGCAACTTTGTTCTTAACAGAATTTCCTTAAATAGGTCTCTCCTATTAGCAAGGGAACATGGTCATTTAAGATCATGAGTATAGGGGCCAGCCCTGTGGCTTAGTGGTTAAGTGCGTGCGCTCCGCTACCGGCGGCCCGGGGTTCGGATCCCGGGCGCGCACCGACGCACTGCTTGTCCAGCCATGCTGAGGCAACATCCCACATACAGCAACTAGGGGGATGTGCAACTGTGACGTACAACTATCTACTGAGGCTTTGGGGAGAAAAGGGGAAAAAAAAAAGAGGAGGATTGGCACAGATGTTAGCTCAGGGCTGATCTTCCTCAAAAAAACAAAAGATCATGAGTATAGTCCCTCTGGCCATCTTAGCTTGCACTATGTATTAACAGGCACCCTGGTTTTCCAATCAAGCCTCATGTGAATTTCCTGGGTATGAAGCAGTTCTTCAGGGAAAAATGATTTAGTAGATGAGATCACAAGGGTTAATGTGCCTAGTACAATACCTACTACCTAGAAGCCTCTCTAATATAAATTTTTTTCTCCTTCTTTCCCTTGAAACTCTGTAATAAAAATAAAAAACCCACTGTACAAGAACTATACTAAAGAAGTATACAAGAAAAGAATCATTTGTTGCACATACTTTAACATAAATATTTTATAATTTAGTATAAAGACATTTTGCACACCACTACCATAAATACTGAACATGGTTTTATGAAAGTTGCAATTTTATGATAAAAATTTATCCTAAATACCATGATAATCTACCCATTTTCTTCTTAACCTCAGTATAACAGCTAAGACTTAGGGTTAGAATTTAACCCTAGCAGACATGAAAATTTGGTGTCTCGGTTTACAAATATAGTCTAACATACCAGAATATTAACAAACATTTCCATGTGCTTCAGATGTACTGCCATGACATGGATAGCCAACAAGTTCAAAAGAAATATACACATTTCTAGTTAAAAGTGCTAACTAGAAATATTGCAGTACACCTGGTGAACTGCGACCATCCATACAGATTTCTACACACCTGAAAAAGTCAACAACAACAACAAAATTAAGGTATTTGGCATTAGGTGGACAATGTCTAGGCTTGAGGGTTGACTTACTGTTTTCACGTACTGTACAGTCTTATTGCCCTCAACTTTGGAGTTTCAGAGCTAGAGAGTATACAATTCAAAACACTTGCTTTGGGGGCCGGCCCCGTGACGTGGCGGTTAAGTGCGCGTGCTCCACTGCTGGCGGCCCAAGTTCGGATCCTGGGGACGCACCGACGCACCGCTTGTCAGGACATCCTGTGGTGGCGTCCCATATAAAGTGGAGGAAGATGGGCATGGATGTTAACCCAGGGCCAGTCTTCCTCAGCAAAAAGAGCAGGATTGACATGGATGTTAGCTCAGGGCTGATCTTCCTCACAAAAAAAAAAAAAACACTTGCTTTGTCCTTTCTCTTATGTTAGATCGCTAATGTTTTCCTAACTCTTGCAGTCTTCTAGAATGATCTTTCAAATTTTCACTCAACAGCACTGGGTCAAATCTCTTCTATACAGGATCTCATTCTTCTCATGCCTTCTCTATTTGCAGAGAGCTGGTCAAAGTCTTGAAAGTGGAAACGAGTTGCCAGTTGATTTACCATTTTCCTCAGGGTAAGAAATGCTGAAACAACTTGGAAAGTAAGGAACATAGTGAAAATGATGTGTATCGCTTTTTCCAAGGGCAGATTTGCTAGGCCTTCATTAAAGAGCAAGAAAAGAATTAAAGGCAACTGCAATAGAAGGCTCAAAAGCCAAAAGCCAGCCAACTCAGGAACCTGCAATGACACACATTAAGAGTAATCAGATCAATAAAGTACAGTTTTTTTGTTTATAAGCAAGTACTTAGCACTACTGTGAACCTACATTATGAGCTCTGTAATTCAAAAGGAGTATAACATGGTCTTGTCCTCAGAGAATTTACAGTCTAGAAGAGAAAACTAATTTATGTGACAATCCTAGAATACACACCTTAGTGAAGAATTAAATGCACCACTTAGAGGTATAGACTAAATGTTACAAGAAATAAGACAAGAGTGATTACGGTAGGTGAAAGAAAGAATTCAAGGATGTAGGTTTTTACAGTTGGATAGAAGAAGGAAGAGACAAGAGGGAGGTAAGTAAGCAAAGACGTGGAATGAGCATGATTGGGAATCAACTCGTCAGACTGGAATGGACGCTTGGATTAGGAAATAGCAAGAAATACAGTGAGACAGCCTACATGGGGCCTAATGATGAAGGGCCTAGAAAACCACAGAAATCTTTAGGCATTAACCCTAAGCTCTGGTAACTGTAAATGCTTAGGCAGCATGATCATTCAGAAAATGTGACTGGCATAGGAAATGAGTTTATAATTTCCTCCTATTTTCTTATTCAGGATCCAAATAAACAAGTTTAATTGACCAAGTATTTTCAAGGCTGGTGAGAAGAGGGAAAACTATCAATTCTTATGTGCTTACCATGTTCAGGTACTTTATATAAATTATTTCATTTAATCCCAACAAATTTATATACAAAGAAACCAAGGCTCAAGAGATTAAGCAAACAGATCACAGTGACAGAAGTGGTAAAGTTAGAGTCAGGCCTTAACTACAGGCCTTTGCTCCTTCCGCCACATCTCACTGCCTTTTCCTTGCTATGTAAACCTTACTGCATTTACGTGTAGACTGAGAGAAAGGAAAGAAGAGCCTACCTTCTCCTGCAGGTTCCCCATGTAGCCCAGATACAGCCTGATAGCTTCAATTAAGGTTATTAGGATGATAACAGTGACCACAATGAATTTGTAGTAATCAGGCAAGACTGAATACTGAAAAAACAAAAATAAACATATTTGTAAAAATCTCACGTATAGTCAAACTGTCCTGAGATAGGACAAAAAATAAATGAAGAATTTTAATTTTACTGACAATGCCAGGGATGGGCAGAAGAGACCTCAGCAGAAGTACTAAAGCACAGACTTACCTTCATCTGAAGCATCATAATGCTGCTCACCCACCAAAGTGGGAAAAAGTAGGCATTAAAATAAAGTGACATCTGCAATGCTAAACTGGAAACCATTTCATTATCTACAGAAGAAATAGAAAAAGAACAAACTCTTAATCCTGGTCTATGCCCTATAAATCCTTTAGTTCTTCAGAATTAATAACTACAGTATTGGCTCAATAAAACTCCAAATTTTAAGCCTATTTATAATCACTGAGTGTGAAAGAAAATATTCATCATAATACTATTCAGTTCATATATTGGCTACTCGGGGGTATGTTTCATATTTTTCAATTACTTTATCATTTTGCCATTACAGTCTGCTGACTTTTTTGTACACTACTGGTATAGATTAAATGTGGACTATCAATATGAATCCTAGGGAACAGACAACAATAATTATCATTACCTCCTTTGTAGAGTTCTATGTAAAGAGCCTATAAAATGAACACACAAAATATATGAAAACTAATCTTTCACATATAAACTACATAAATCTCATATAAACTACTATAAACTACTATAAATCTCATACAAAAACTAATTTCCCAAATTATAGTCAGCATACCCTAATCCCACCCATTCATTAAAACCCAATTCAATGCCACTTTTTCCATAAATCCCCTCTTGATCATATTCCCCTATCCCAGCAGATATCTGTTTCCCCTCTCAGCACTTAGATCACTCTAACTTGTGTATAAGAAGTGTTAGCAAAGAACCACACTCCCCTCACTCGAGACACAGTCTGGTGTACTGAAGAGATCATGAGCTTTGGAGTCCAAGTAGACTCAGAACTCCCCAAACTCCCCTGTAACTCTGGATACCAGACTTGGGATATGTTACTTAACCTCTTTGAGCTTCAATTTCTTCATCTGTAAAATAGTAACATTAAAATTACCTCCCAGGTTACTTGTGAGGATTAGCAATAATATAAATTATTTCACCTACCACCATGCCTGGCACTTAGTAGGCACTCAATAAACATTAGTTACCATTCTTTCTCTTTTACTTATTCACAGCCTCATTATAAGCACAGACCATGTTCTACCCAAATTTGAGACCCTCATAAAACCTAGCATCTTGGTTTACACATGGTAAATACCAAATACACAAAAGCAGAAAGAATGAATTAATGAAAACATACTGTCATAAGGACATTATCAGTGTAGCCATTCGTGATACATGAGTTTCATTTCCCAGGCTGATTACACAGCACTTTTGCTTTTATGTAAGGGAGAAGGGTCCTAAATTAAGAATTTGATTTTATAAATTGAGTCCTACAAAGGTATCCTAAATTTGACTAAATTCTAACAATTTAAGAGAAGATATATATTTTGAAATCAATTGCTCTAAATGTAAGAATTTACAAAGGCTCTAAAATAAATTTCTTAAAAACTGATTCTTTTGTCTCCACAGCTGAATATTTTATATGTCATTTAATAATTTTAAAATATATTTAATATTTTTATATTTAATAATTTAATTTAATAATTTAATAATTTTAAAATATAAGAAATAATCATGGTCTATCATAGCAAGAAGTTTTCCATTAGCTCCAAGAATATGCCTGATTATTATGATCTACTTTCTAAAAAATTCTATTATGATCTACTTTTGCTTGCACCTATTTATTAAATTACCACTGACAAAGGAATCAATTCTTAAAATCTGTTAAATCTGAAGGAAACTCACTAGCCTAGGATTTTATTCATAACAGTACAACTCTTGGTCAGCTGTAGACAAGATAATGATATACACTTGTAATTACAGTACAAATAATCAAACCTACTTCAGATCCACAAAGAAGAAAATGTAGAAAGATAACGATAAATTAGGTAAGCTGAAAAATTTAATACCTTTGGAGCAGAAACTGTAGTCAAATTTTGCAAAGAAGTTTTTATGTTAGAAATTTTGTACATGAGCATCTTAAGAGTTATGCTATGTCTATATTTCAGCAGATCAAACTTATAATCATGCAATCGAAAATCAATATGTAAATGAACCTTGAAAGCACAAGACACGAATTTACTAAATTTTGCAAAAGTACAAGTTGAATTCTGTAAATGGAACTTAAATTAAGACATTATATAAATCAAGGGTAAGCAAACTACCAGCCAGCTGCCTGTTTTTGTATAGCAAGTGAACTAAAAACGGGTTTTCACATTTTTAATTGGTTGGGGAAAAAAAATAAACGAATAATATTTTGTGACACTGAAAATCATATGAAATTCAAATTTTAGTGTCCATAAATAAAGTTTTATTGGAACACTGCCATGCTTATTCAATTACCATTATCTGCGGCTGCCATAGAGACCTATGGCCTGCAGAGTCTAAAATATTTACTATCTGGCACTTTACAGAAAAAGTCTGCTGACCCCTGATACCTTGCATCATCAGATTTTACTGCCTGTTAAGCTTTAGCTTTAGAATCAGAACTGTAAAAACCTAATATTTCACATTACATTTTTCTCCGTACATCCTAAATCATGAAGAGGCCTAAATCTGGGGGACAGGCAAATAAGCAGGGTGAAAAAACGCAACTATGGGAATTGACTTTACTTTTCTCTGTCCTTTTTAAAAAATCCTTAAACCAAGCAAGAGGAAAAGATTTCTAATCCCCAACAGAATTCAGTGATAAAAACCGCATGGGTTTGGTTGACAGTATGTTGTCTATCATCATGATTTAAGAGGAGGACACTGTTTTGAAGGAAACTGCGTTACCTGTCATGTTGAATGTAGCATCGTGGTATTTTGTTACCAGATTTAGGGAAAGAGTTACATATAGAGGAGGAGAAGGAGAAAGCAGGGAAGGGGGCGAGTTTTGTTGAAAGCGATGCTAGTGTGGCAGCTGCCACTCTGGAGCGGATAGCGGTTTAAAATGACTCATTTTAAAAACTTGTTTCCATCTCTTCTGCCAGAAAACGGACTTGTGGTGGAACGTACTTATTCTGCTAGCTAAAGAAAAAAGGAAAAGATATTTTCTCGGGGTAGGGGGTGGGGAGTGGGAAGGGGAGACTGCCTAGGCTGTTGTCACTCCATCCTGGCCAGAAAAGCCAGGGCGGACGCCGCAGAGGAAAAGCAACTTCGGCCTTCGCGGAGGGCGCGGGAGCGGATGTGTGCTGCGAAGGCGGCTTTTATATTTTTATTTTTTGAAGAAGGCCGGCGCCAGCTCAGCTGCCCCGCTTCCAATCCGCCAGCCAGGCCGCAGCACCCTCAGCCCAAGACCCGCCGGGGATCCGGGCTTCTCCTCCAAGGCGCTTTCCGCACTGCGGGAGACCAGCTGAAGGCGAAGCCGCCATCTTAGGTCCGGGCAAAATCTGGCCGCTCCAAAACCGGCGCCAGGTTGTCGGCAGGCCACACCCGCACCTTCGCCACTCACCCGGACCCTCGCTGTACTCCGGCCCGGTCCGGCTAGAGTCGCTGAACACGGTCCGGCTGAAGTGTCCCAACCGCTGGCGGACCGGATCCGGCAGCTCCATGCCCGGGCCTCGGAACCTCTCACAGCTGGGTCTGCGGACGCAGCCGCGCTCTGCGGTTCCCACGGCAACCGGGCGGTGCGAGGGCTGGGGGCCCGGGTGCACGCGCGGCCGCACTGCCGGGCCCGGGTGCGGGTCGCTAGCCGGCGCGCCTGGAAGGGAGAGGTGCTCGGAGGCCCGGTACCTGCTGAGCGCCTCAGCCGGGTGCAAAACGGTAGATTCGTTAGTCCTGTTTTAAGCCTTACCCTTTTAAAAACAAATAGAAATAATAATAAATAACCTGGGCTTGGATTGTGATATAAAGTATGAGGGTTGGAGCCCTCATACTTTGCCAGTGGGATGCAACTTTTCTGGAAGGAAATAGAGAACGAATGCAGAGCTTAAAGAATGTTCATGACCCAGTAGCTTCTTTTTTGGGAGCTATATGTATAGTATGTGTGTGTATGTGTATATATATTTGATGGAGTATATTGCAGCAGCTTAAAAAACATGCTTGCAATGAATATTTGATGATATGGATTAACTTTAAGTAAAAATAAAAAACCAAAAGTAAAACTAAATAGAAATGAACCTCTTTTAGCAAAATGTGCGTGTGTAAATCATGTGGGGAGCAGGGGTAGGTAGCACAAGCACCGTGGCTTCAAAAAAAGACTAGAAGGAAACAATCCAAAATGTTAATAGTAGTTATTTCTGGATAGTGGGTTGTGGGTGATTTAAATTTTTAAACATCTCTGTATTTTCCAGCTTTCTCTCAAATAAGATGTATTATTTTTTTAAAAAACTATTTAAGTATAATATACATACAGAACTGAATATACATATGTAACCAGTACACAGGTCAAGAAACAGAACGTTATCAGCACCCCCAGAATCTCCCCCTTCCTGTTTCCTTACAGTCACTAACCCTCCACTTCTAAATGACCTTTCCAGACTACTAACAGCATAGTTTTGTCTATTTTTATGCCTTATATAAAAGTAATCTTGCAGTAAGTGCTTTTTAAAAAGAAATCTGGCTCTTTGCCCTCAAAATTATTTTCATGAAATTCCTTCATATTGTTGAGTGTAGATTCTCTTTCTTGCTGTGTGTGACCATGCCACAATAAGTTTATCCATTCTACTGTTGATGAGCATCTGTGTATTTTCTAGTTTGGAGCTATTATGAATAGTGCAGCTTTTGATGAAAATATACATCTTGGTGAACATATGCATGCCTTTGTGCTGAGTTTATTCCCAGGAGTGGAATTGCTGGCTTATGAGGTAGGACCCAGCTTTAATAGATACTGCCAACAGTTTTCCAAAGTGGTTGTACCAATTTCTATTTCCTGTAGCAATGGTGTGTGCATTTCTGTTGCTTCAAATCCATCACCAACACTTGTTATTTTCCATCCTTTCCTTTTAGCCATTCTGATGGGTGTGTGGTGAACAGTATTATTTTTACAGTCAAAGGAACCGTACATATTTATATAAATGCCAAGAGGAAGGCATGGGAGGAAATAGATACATGGCTAGAATCTCAAAATAATTCATCGAATGTTTATTGCATTCTTACTACTTTTTTTGGCATTGTACTTGGCTAATTATGGATATTCCTCTCCATCAAGAAGCTCAGCCCAGTGAAAGAGTGAGAGACATGGAAACAAATAAGTACGATATACTTGAGTAAAGAAACACAGATGAGGAAGCAATTAGTTCTGGTTGGGGATGTCAGGGAAAAGCTGGCTAACTTCTGCTTCTTTCCAAGATAGAGCTCAGGCCTCAGCATCTCCAAAAGGCTTCCAGGACCTTCGTGAAGCTGGCTTAAGTGCCCTTCTCTTTTTCTCAAAGCATGTTCCTCTGTGTTACTTTGGAAGCGCTAGTCACGCTGTACTATAACTGTCTATTTGTGTCTGTTTCTCTTGCTAGTCCACGCGCTCTTTGAGGTCAGGGATGGGCTTTCATCTTTCTATCCTGAGCATTAGGATGGTGCCTGACCTGGAGTGGGAGCTGGATAACTATTGAATGAATAAAGGGAATAAAAGGTCTAAAGACCACTCCCATATCTTACCATTTCTAGTTCAAGGACTTACTTAGCCAGCTCTTATATAAGGTTCACTCTATAGAAAAGAGAATTGATATATTAAAACGCAGTGAATTATAGCCATCAAAAAAAATTTGGTGGGGGGCGGGGCGGCCTGGTGGCATAGTGGTTAAGTTTGGCGTGCTCCGCTTCAGCATCGTGGGTTCACGTGTTCAGATCCTGGGTGCAGACCAACACCAGTAGTCAGCCATGCTGTGACGGTGACCCACGTACAGAATAGAGGAAGATTGGCACAGATGTTAGCTCGGGGCTAACCTTCCTCAAGCAAAAAAAGAGGAAAATTGGCAACAGATGTTAGCACAGGGCGAATCTTCCTCAGCCAAGAGGAAAA